CCTTCCGAAAGGGTCACTGCTGCCATGGATTGAAAGACACGAAATACATTTTGAAAAATTCCATTATACCAAAAAAAATTTTGGTCTTAGAAGGTTAATGAATTGTTCTGAAAACAGGGAAATGAAGACCCAGGCACTTTTGTTTCTTGTACGAATGCTGTTTGAAGTGTTTGCGGAGGTAAATGGACAGTTGATGGGGGGTGTCCTTGTTTGTGGAAGAATCTTCTGCATTCAGTCACTACATGCAGAAGAAAGGAGGGAATTAGAAAATGTCCCATTTTGCCATCCTCCTGAAAGAACAGATCCGGGGCCAAGGCTTTTCACTTCAGCAGAGCTAAGGTCTGGTGGCAGGTAATTTGGGGCAGCTTGGGGGACTGTCCTGTATGTAGTCTAGCAGTTCCCTGGACCTTCCCACTAGAATAATGGCGGTACCACATGGTGACAACCGGGAGTATCTCCGCCTGCTGCCAAGTGTCGCTGGGGGACAAAGCCACCTGGTCGGGAGCCACGGGGGCAGGCTACGACCCTCGATGGCTGCTGAGACCAAGAGGTGAAAGCTGAGGAGGAATGAACCACACCTGGCACCTGGCCTTGAAAGCAGCCCCAGCCTCCCTCGCAAAACAGAAAACCCCTAGCGACACCCCCTGCCCCATTTTTGCCAAACAAGTCGTCGTTCCTCTACTGAAATCAGGGATCACCCCTCGCCCTGTGTTTTTCTGGGGGGACATGCGCTGTCCTGGCCAGGTCTGTGCATCCGCTGGGGCTTCCACCTTCCATGCTCCACCCCCTCCCACCTCTTTCTGTTTCCATTTCCTCATTCTCTCTGTTCTCAGCTTCCACGACGCTTCCTCCAGGAAACCCTCAATGACTCCTCCTTTGTACAACCCCTGCCCGTCATGTCCCTTGTCCCAGTATAATTGTAACTGTCACTTCGATTCAGACTCACCGGTGCAGAGAGTACCAGGAACCCAGCGTGGAGGAGACGCTCAGAAAATGTCACAAGCAGGAAGGAAGACGGGCAGAGGCCTGACAAGGTGTTGTCACCGTGCTGGTGTGCGCACTTGGCTGAGCAAGGAAGTGACTGTCCGCGCATGTGCAGGGCTCGTCCACGTGTGAACGTGGACGCATGCGCACAGCGCTGGAGTCCCGCGCAGCAGCACGGGGCGGGGAAGGCAACAACCCTGACTACCCCACCCCTCCCCTCCCGGCTTCCTCTCCATCACTGCACCTCGGTTCCCCTGCTGCAGCCAGGCCGTATTTCTGGGAACCTTCGGATCTTCTTGGTCCTCTCTGCCTTTGCACTTGCTGTTCCTTCTGTCTGCTCTGCCCTTCCCTGCTTTCTCCGTGCAGTGCACGATCCTCTCAGCCTTCCAGAGTCTCTTGGCCCCTCGCCCTTCTCCCCGTTAGGCCCCTTGCCATCTGCGCATCCAAAGCGCTTGAGCCTCAGTCTGCATACTCTTGCTGTTCTGGGCACTCAACCGCGAGCTCCCGAGAAGGCAGGAGCCAGCGGCCAGGGGCAAGGGGGTGTTTCCGATGTGAGGCTGGACGTCCGTGTGGGTGTCGAGTGTACAGATGAATGGCTTGGACTAGTCTGGGGTCTTCACACGTTTTTTACTCATGAGCGCCCCAAACACTTTAATTTTACCTTTCCTGTCGAATCTACGTGATACCCAATTCAGACTTACTCCCGAGTGAAGAACAGATTTATAGTAGCCGCTGATCTTTTTGCAAAAGTTAAGTGGAAGTAGTTCCCCTACAAATCTGAGTTTAAGAAATAGAAAACACTAACTTCCCTCTGATACGAGAGGGCCCGGAGGAAGGAAACTTGAGACATTTCACCTCCTCCACCTCGAAGTTGGGTCAAATCCTCCGCAGAGACCTGGACGGAGAAAGGATGAGGCGCACCGCACCCCCGCAGCCCCTTCTCGGCGCTGTGCATGGGGACGGTGCACCAGAACCGCTTCACCCAGGCTGGCAGTTCCCAGAATGCTTTGTGTTAAATATTGTCATCCTAATGAATTTCCTTCCTGGCTTAAGTCAGTTTTCACGTGTTTCTGTCACTTGTAGCCACAAGAATCCAGAATAACGATGGGACAGGAGCGGAGGGAGGGTCAGGAGGAGTGGAGAGGTAAGATTCTAGAACCTGGTAGACCTTGTTTCAAATCCTGGCCCCGCTGTGTGGTTTGAGGGTGTCACTTTGCTTCTCTGGCCCTCTGTTCTTGTGTGAAACAGGGGTGACACCAACTCCCTGGGGGGCTGCTTTAATATGTAAGAGTCACATGCAGGATTTGGGGAATCAGACAGATGAACTTGATCAAGCAAGTGACTTCCCTTCCCTGAGCCTCAGTTTCCTCACTGGTGGGACAGATAAACATAACCATCTCAGGGGATCGTGGTGAGAATTATATAAGAGAATCAGGTAAAATGCCCACACAAAGCTGGTGCTCAACGCATGACAATTAGCCCCCCATGGGAGAGGCGAGCGAGCCTTAAGTCTGGACACTCTTAAAAATCAGTCAGCACCTCTGACCGGCCCCAGAGGGTGACACAGGCCCCACAGCTGCAGAGTGGTCAGCCAGGGAGGCTGGAGCATGGACGGAGTTGCTCTCTCTGCAAGCAGAGGGGCTGGGCAGAAATTCTAGCAAGTGCTAATTAGGTCGAGAGGCTACCCGAGGGAGGGGAGGAATGCCTGATTAATTACTGGCCCGCTCTGCAGGGGGCCACACACCGGGCCTACCTGCCGCCTCCCCTCCTTGCCAGCGCTGGGAATCTCAGCCAGGAAGCCAGGCGGTTCGGGACAGGACGGCTAGGGTGAGCCTTGCCGCCATCTGGTCCCCAACTCCCCGCCTAATGTCTGTAACAGACTCACTACCTAATTGCCTGTTTGGGGAGCGGCCTTCACATCTTTAACACCTAATTCAGTATTGTTTCTCTGGAAGCCCCAATCCTGCAGCCCGATTGCAGAGGGAGGGCTCGGCTGGTTTATGGGGCTTTCCAGCCCCGGGCATCCCAGGCCGGCCTTGTTAGGCTCCAGCTGGGCCGGCAGCCCGGAGGGTGCCGCCCTGGCTTCCTGCACGCAGCCCGGGCTTTCGGCGCCCCTCTCCCCAGAGCTCACCTGCTTGGCAGGAACACCCCAGACACAGCCTCTCCTGCTTGTCCAGCCTCCCCATCCAAACCCGCATCTTGCCAGATGCAGAGGCCTGTCCCCCATTCTTTCCGGCCAGCCCCTTGGAATGCTAGGGCAAGAGCCAGTCTCTACTCATTTCTGACCCATACTCACAGGGCACCACTGTGGGAGGGGGGCAGAGGGTGAGGGTCTAAGACCAGGAGACCCCAGCCCTTTCCTCCCTGACCTCTGCTGCTTTGGGTCAGAGAAGCAGATTTGGGAAGGATGCTGAGAGGGACCTGGCTGGCCACAGAAGTGGCTCCCTGGCCTTTGTACTCCCTGGGAGGGCCCTGACTCATCTCCTTTTGACACATTCCCCCTCCCGCTCCCCCCCCCTGCTGTGGTCACGGTCATTATCACTATCATCGCTAGTCATTGGTCATCTAAGGGCTCTGTCATTATCTCTGGGTGTCCCTTGCTACCTCTCCAGCTAAAGGGATGAGGATGCAGGGAGGTGGAGGGGGGATTCTGCCTACTCCCCTCCACCCCTCCACCCTACGTCATTTTCCCTTACGATTGATTGACTGCTGCCCGACATTACAGCTTGTAACTCTTAGGTTTATTATCGCTCCTCCGCAGGAGCAGGTCCGTCCACAAGGGTAGGGCCTCTGCTCAGGTCACTGCTGTGGCTGCAGCCCCTGGGACAGCATCTGGCACAGAACGAACTCAGCACATTTTATTGGATGAATGAATGAACAATTGATGGAATTCTGGACCCACAGTTTTCTCACCTGAATTGTTTGGAGCAGGTCACTTCACTTCTCTGAAACTTCCAGGGCCAAATAGAGCACACACCCATCTCATAGGGCTATTGTTTAGATAAAATAAATAGTGTGAATGGAACTAACACATAATAGGTGCTCAGTAAACAACCACCACACTCACTATTATTATCACCAAGGGTCTCAGGCTCAGTCACCTGTTCACTGAGGCCTCAGGCACTTAAAGATCTGAGCATGTCTGTTCATGTGCCAGATGCAGAAGTCAGAGTCCCTGAGTCCCACAAAGGGATGTTTTGTCGATGCCTGGGTTGTGGGTGAAGCACCTAGCAGGTGGCTGACACACAGTAGGCCCTGACCGGGGGAGAGAAGACCTGGAGCAAAGGGCACTGGGCGTCAGCAAGGCCTCTCTGGCTCCTTGTACCCCAGCCTGTGAGGGTCCGAGCAGAGCACCACCAGGTCCCCACCTACCTGGTTTCTGCCATCAGAAGGATGAGAGCAGGGACCACCAGCCTGTACCTGGCAAAAGCTAGAGGGGACTCTATGAATGACTCAATCGGGAATCCCTAGAAGGCGAGCTCCCTGGAGCCTGATTGCTTTTGGTCTGTTTGGGTCTGTGGTGAATTCCCAGCCCGTAGGAGTGCCTGGCACTTAGGAGGAGCTTACTAAATAGACATTGAATAAGTGAATGCATCAATCAATGAAGCCATGAGCTCCTGTAAGTGAAGTCCCCCGTGGGCGGGGATTTTTTTTTTCTTGTGATGTTTGGTAAACCTCCAGTGCCTTGAAGAGAGCCTTGGCACCCAGAAATGCCAAGGCAGGGCACGTGTGTCACCGTACAACAACCGAAGAAATCATCAAATCAATGACTCATGGGAATGTAATCTCTCTGCAGGCTAGGACTGCCATCTGCTACGTTTAAGGCTGCATCTGTAGTACCTGGAGCATAGCAGGTGTCGAATGAATGAGTGAGCGAATGAATGAGCAAGGTCCCAGCTCTCAGCGCAAAGACCAGGAAGAACAACACAGGAAGGGGGCCGCCACCCTGCCCCCGGCCACCACTCAATGCCTCGTGGGTTTTTTAAATAATTTGTCGATTGTTTTTAATGGTTGAGGCAGTAATACTTGGTTCATGAAACTGCAATATACAGAGAGGTGAAATAAATAGCTTATATATATAATATATATAATATAGCTGGTTTTAAAATATTCCCTTATCATTGGTGTGCTAGGTCACGTGAGTCACGGAAGGTCGATAGCAGCATCCTGCAGGCTGCGAGCAAGGCAGGGTCACCGTGATTGGACGAGGCCGTCTGTCGTCGGAGGTCGAGGCGCCGAGAATTCCGAGGGGCACGCCTTCCCTGCGCGGTGTCTCGGGACAGCTTGCAGCGGACAATAAATAAATGACTGCAAACCAGAGAGCGATTTTTGTTGGAGTGTCTGGGGCAAGGACGGGAGATTGGGAAAGAGGGGGCGTTCCACGGGGGGCGGGTACTACTTTTTTCTGCTTTTTTTTTTTTTTTTTTGCTTTTTTCCTTTTGCTTTCAGAACCTTTGGGAAAAAAGGACTTTGGTTTCTCAGAGTGTCGTGTTCCTCATTCAAGTCCTCCTCTGGGGACGAGCTGAGAGTTGTCTGTTCTGAGAGAGAGACGGGCACCTCTGTGCTGACAACGTCTCTCTGGATGAGTCTTGGTCGTAGGGGGTTTGGGGTCAACCATAAGGTCCTTACCGTTCCCCCTCCCCCAAGAGTTTTGGTTCAGTTTTTGTCTTCTTTGAAACAATGTACAAAAATAGAGCTTCTTCCTTATTTTTCATGTAAAAATATTCCTTTGATGTAGTTCTCTGGGAGTGTGAGCACGGTCCGGGGCGGCCGCCTAGCCAGGGTGCGTGGGGCGGATCCGCCGGGACCGCTTGGTCACCGTGGTGTACTTGAAGGGCTTCTGCAGCTCCGTCTGCCCCTTGGGGTAGCGTTTCATGAAATGCACGTCCTGCTGGTTCTCCCGGGTCTTGGGGCCCTTTCTTGGCCGTCCCTTCTTGGTGAAGCCCACGTACCAGCCGGAGTACTTGGCGGACATCAGAGCTGTGTAGTTGTTTTCCAAGACCTTCTCAATGAACACACACTCCTTACTGGTGCCATCAGGCTACAGGGGAGAGAGGAGAAGGAGGTGAGAAGGGCCGTGGGGGGTGCGAGGGGCATGATTACGTGCAGAGGCAGGGGTGCGCGGCCATGGCCCGGGGCCAGCACCGGAGAGAAGGCCTAGCCCGACCTTTGGCCTCAGCAATTTCACTTCCTGGATCTGTGAAGTGCACTTCTTTTATCGGGCCGCATCCTTCAAGAATCCACACGTTCCCCACTTTCCACCCTGCAGCCAGGAGCTCCCACCTCAACTCCACGAGAACAAGAAACCCAGAGGCAGCCAATCAAAACATGCTTTCCTGTGATTGGTGCGGGGCTGGACATGGGACCTGAGTCATCCAATCAGCGCTCCTCGAGACCCTTGTACAAACAATGCCTGCAAACGTAGCTGACTTACACTCGGACCACCCAGTAAAGGGAGGGCAAAGCCATTTCACTGCCAGGAGGAGAAATCCTGTTTGACCACAAAGCCAGCACGGAGGGCCCAAAGCCAAGAGGAAAAGAAGAAGAACCCAAGTCCTGGTCGCATCCTCTAGCTGCATCTGAAGCTGCAGTCACCTGACTTTCACGTGGGCCCGTACCAGGTCCTTGGAAGCGGCTGAGATTGAGTTGTAGCATTTGCAACAGGAAGGAGTTCTGACAGCTGTGCCCGAAACCGGACGTGAAGTCAGCTACTCCACTGCTGCTCAAACGCCGCCATATAATGTTCAATAATAATTGTTGTTAATAGTTAATGTGGTGCCTTGCAGTGTTTGGTGTGCAGGAGGAGGGAGCCTCCCTGAGTGAGAGTGTCAGCGTGACCAAACCCCGAAGCCCGTGCCCTTGCTTCAGGGGCTTCGGGCTCCCGAGCAGACGCGTGAGAACTCTGGAGGCCATGCTGGGCAAGGCGCACTACCCGCACTCAGACTCAGGAGCTGAGTCAACTCTAAGCTTTCGGGTTAGTGCATCCCACTCTCTAAACCTCGGATTCTTCGCCTTACAGAACAGGAACAAGGAAGTGTCCCGTGTCATAGAAATCTTGTGAGGAATGATGCCCCTCAATGAGCCTGGCGCACAGTAGGAACTGCTGAATTAATGCTGAGGACCAGGCGGTTGGGAAGGTCTGGCTCCCCTCCTTGGGCCTGAGCTGGACCGAAGGTGGTGGGCGGCAGGCTTTGAGTCTCCTCCCCGAGACAGCCGAACTGCTCGATGGGGAAGAGTGGGAAACACACGAAGTTGGAAGGCCTGAATTAGCAGCACTGGAGTTTCCAACTAACAACTCCAAATTTAGGCTGGGCCCACTCCTCGTTACGGACAGATGCCCAGCCAAGTTGGAAGCCCAGCGGTCTGGCTGTGCGTGGAGACTGAGGTGCGAGTTCCAGCCTTTTGTTTGAAGTAGAAAACAGGCTGGAGCTTCCAGGAACGTTCACCTTTGAGCGGAGGGCAAGCTTGGGCTCTGCAAAGTGCTGAACTTTGCAGAAAGGGACAGGCAGGGCAAGAAAACATTCTCTGGAGGATGAGATCTTTCGAGGAGGAGGTGGCAGGGCAGGCAGGGGGAGGGCCTGGGGGCACATGCAGGACCCAGGGGACAGAATTGGCGGGACGAGCAGGGAAGGAAGCCAGAGCATATGTGCAAAGGGGTAGAGGGGCGTGGGCTCTGGGCTCTGGGCAGCCCATGGATAATTATGGAAGCTGCCTATCCAACTTGAGTCCAGGGCCCTTGGCCCATCTCTACGGAACAGTCAGAGCAAATGGAACAAAGGTCACACCATGATGTTTCCCTACCCTGAAATGCCTGGAAAACTGCTTTTATCCTTCAAGGCTCAGTTCAGCAATCACCTCTTCTAGGAAGCCTTCCCTGACTGCTACCTATCTCCCTGAGCACTTCCTCCTCTTCCTTCAATATTCCATTGAAGTACCAAGCATTAGTGGGTTCACATACTCCATCTTCTAGACCCTCCTGGCACCCATTCTTCCTCCTACCCCCTTAAAAGAGCAATTCCACATCTGCCGACCCCCTCCACAGTCCAAGAGCATCAGGAGGTCGGGACTGCTTCTCAGTTGTTCTCATGGTTCAGTACAGACCTTAACCTAAGACAGAGGTGCCCAGAGCTTCTGTGGGTGAATGGATTTGAGTTCTGAGATAGGAATGGTGGGAGCAACACAGGAAAGAAACAGACTCTGGCTCCTCCTGGACCCTTTGCTAATACCCCCAGACTGTCATGAGCTAGGAGAGCCCCCGCCTGCGGAGGCACTGAGAAAGGGCCAGAGCCAGCAGAGGGCCAGCACACTGTGCATTGCCCATGTGGTCTCCCTACTCATTCATCCAGCCTTTATTAATTGCCAACCACATGCCAGCCCTTGCACACCCATTATTGCATTTAATCCTCTAACTCACCAAGGCAGACTCTCCCTGGCAGAAGAAAACAGAATTCAAGGAGGCAACAGGGCTTATGCAAGGTCATGGAGCTTGACACCGGCAGAGCCAGGATCTGAACCTGCATTTGCCTCGGCAGCTCACTTCTTTCTCCTCTCTCCAGTCCCAGACACACCCACAAGGAGACGGGGCACGGCCGTGGGGCACTGCCCATCAAAACACCTCGCCTCCCCAGGCCCGCATGCCCACACCAGCATGAAGCAAGCTGTTGAAAGTGCAAGGGTCAGCATGGTGCCTGGCACAGGGGTTCACACGCGTCTGGATTTACTTAGAGGGTTGGGGAGCTGGGCCTCAGGCTGCCATTCTCAACACCCCAGAGCTCAGGAGCCACGGGGCCCACCTACGGTGGTCACATATCCCCCCAGGAACTCAGAGGATAAGACGCCAGTGTAGGCCACGCCTGGGCTTGACCCTTGCCCTTGCTCCTGATGACCTCTGTGACCCTGCTGTGGCCTGCAGGGGGTTTTTAAATCTCAGCAGCACTGACTCAGTTGGTTCAGGCCAGGCGGACGATGAGCAAGATTTAGGGAAGGAGTGACTCTCTCCTCCCAGAATCCCGGGGACCTGGAATTGGGCCATCTCCCCCACGACCACTCCAACCTCCCTCTGTCCAAACTGGAATCCAGCTCCTTCCATGTGACGTGAAGGCTGAATCCTGAGCACATCATTCAGGCCCCGAGAGAGAGCCAGTCTTACCTGACACTAGAGAGCCCCTCTGGATGTTTTTAGTTACACAGGCCAACTTTTCCTCTTTGGCACTTTGAGTTGGGTGGCAGTCACTTACAACCAAAGCGGCCCTTCCCAAAGATGTGGTGGTGGGCAGCCCCCTCCCGCTGCCGCCGCACAGAGGACCTCACCAGTGACCACTCCGGAGGGGACAGATGAGAAGACAACCATCTGGGATGAGTCTCCAGAGATGGGGGGAAATTGCTTCGTATGTAGTGCACACACTCAACGACTGTGGAATGAAAGGAAGCAGTACCTCCTGGGCCAGACCGTTGTGGGGTCCAGAGAGGAAGGGAGGGGCTCAGCACAGGGCTGGGGCACTGGACTGGCACAAAGCAGCAGGGGTGTGGCGACAGCCGAGGGCCGGGGGTACCTGGAAAGGACCTGCTAGGGTTCAGCAACATGCCCATCTGTGGCCGGTTTGGCACCCAGGGTCGAGACTGCCCAAGAAAGCCATCCCATTGAGCCATTGCCAAGGAGCCAGAGCCTCGGCCAAGGCCAAGGGTGCCCACAGGTGGCGGAGGGACTCAGCGATCTGGTTTCCAAGGGGAAGGGGACCAGCATTGAACGAGTAAGTGCCTCTGAGTGCCAGCATTTTTGCTCCCATTTTACAGGTGAGGACACTGAGGCATGGGGAGGTCAGGGGCTTGGACTCCCCGGCCTGATGTGCACAATGCCAGCTGCAGGTTAAGAGTGAAGCCTCAGAAAACAATCACCACACTTCCTTTTCTTGGTGCCCTTGCAGACTTTGGGGCAGGTGAACGGAACACAGAGAGAAGGATTGAGAATCTGTCCTGATGAACTCTCGGCCTAGCAGGGAATGTAGGTCTGGGGACAGAGTGACGACCCAGGGGAGCGGACCCGCAGCGGTGGGCTGTGTGAGCGGCTGGGGGCTCCCAGGTGGGTGGGGGACTGAGGGGGTCAGAGAAGCAAGAGGGTGTGAAAGGATGATCAAGGGCACCAGGCAGAGGGGTGAGGGAAGGGCAGCCCCGATGGAGGGCACAGTGTGGACGGGACCTCGGGGACTGCTGCTGGGCAGTGCCAGGGGTCTGCCACTTGTGTCTCAGGCCGGGAGCCTGTGACATCAGGGCAGCCGAACAACAGCCACCCTGGGCCCCCAGCGTCCACTGCAGAAGCCAGAGAGAGTGAGGGGCCCTGGGTTGGGCAGAGGCCAACAGGGGGCCCAGCTGCTGGCAAAGTCGGGACAGGTGAATTTGGGGGGGTGCCCTCCGAGGTCCTGAGGCCTGACCAGAAGACGGAAGCCTGGAGGGCGAAAACGGGGGGGCGGGGTGGGGGGTGGCTGCAGCGAGGGGGCGGTCCTCCCTGACGGCGCTGAGCCTCGGGTCGCCTCCAGCTGAACCGTCCCCAATATTAATGACGGGAGAGAGGGCGAGGGGGCAGGAAATCGGAGCCGGCTCCTGTGGAAGCGGTGACTCAGCGGCCAGCCGGCGGGCGGGCAGGCGGGTGGCGGCGAAGGGCCCAAGGGGATGGGGCTGCTCTTTTGACCCCAGGACGGCCCTCCCCGGGGTCAAGATGCCGGGAACCGCGCAGACGGGAGGGAGGGGAGCGCAGGCACTGGGCACGGCAGGCTGCCCTGCGGCCCTCCTTCCAACAGGGGGGGAAAAAGAAGGCCGAGCATACAACTGCGAGCAGGTTGGGCCTGGGAGACGGCCCGGGCCGGGCAGGAGAACAAAGCGCCCGACACGGGGCGGCTGCGCGGCACAGGAAACTCCCGGCCAGGCCAGGGGACCCGCGCCCACCCGCCGCCGCCCCCCTGTCCCAGACCCTGCGGAAAGTGAATCACTAATTGAAACCACTCGTCGTCCCCGAGCCGCGCGACGTATTACCATTTTGTTTGCTCTTTTGAGAAGCTGTCGTTGGTGTAGGCAGCTCAGCTGGAATCTTTGCCTTCCAAACTGGGTTTTGCATCCAGCCCAGCTCGAGTGTGGGACCTGGGACGAGTGCCTGGGGCCCGCTAGGCCTCAGCTTTCACATCTGTGAAATGGGGATGGCAGAGGTACCAACCTCCTGGGATTATGCGGGAGCATCTAGCAGAAAGTAGGTGCTCAATTAACAGAAGCCAGTAGCCCCATTATTATTCACAATAGGTGGCAATACCTGGGCTCCAACCCCTGGCCTGTTACACTGCCCCAGCCACTCAGGTATGGCAGAAGAAAGAGGAATGCGTTGAAAAGTCAGGAAATCAAAAACGTGGTTTAAACAAGGTTGGGGTAACCTCCCCCCTCCCCACCAATGAGGTGTAATAGATGTGTAATAATCAGCCAGGGCCTTGCCCCCAAGCCAAAGACACCATTCTTCTTGGAATCTGGGTCTAATCTCCACCCAGCACCCACTTCACCTGTCCCACGAGAAGAAGCCCCGCCCCCTGCCCCCTTTCCCTCCCCCCTACCTCCCCCCCTTCCAGGGTCCAAGTCAGACACAGAAGTGAGGAGGGACCCCTGCAGAAAGAAGGGGACACAGACATGATCCAACAGAGGCACTGCCAGCAACTTCCACCGGAAGTCCCAGAGGCACCGAGCGTGCAAGCTTCACACACAAGCACACCCAGGAGAAAGGGGGGGTCACTGAGACGCAGCGTTGGTGGAGGCTCAGAGCCCCTGGCACGCGGGTCCACCTGGCCACACCTCCGCCCCTGCCCTAATTTGTTACATTCAGCTCTCTTGCCCGTTCCAGAGTAATAAAATCTTCCTGAAACGCTAGAACCGTGAGGCCCAGCGCTGACAAGGCGGCCGAGTTCCGGAGCCTGGCGATTGTTAAAACAACGCCTCAGCCCGGCCCTCGGCCGGCTGCTTCCCTGTCCCCAGACATCAGGTGTACACAGGCCGTGGTGGGGAGCCCCAGAACCCCACCTCCCAACCAGCTAGAGTTCCATATCTACCAAGAGATCCAGGGCCCTGCGTTCTCCCCAAAGTCACAGTCACGATAATACCAACACAGATAACCCGGCCTGGCAGGCTGTGGGCGTGGGCAGACAGGAAGGGGGCAAAAGGAGGGACTGCTGCCGGAATCTCACACACGTTTCCGCTGAGGGCTGCCATGGCCCTGGGCTCGCTGTCCCAGCTACACGGAGCTGCCAGAGGGGACCCGCCCGAGTCCCCCAGAACCCCAGACCGGCACTCACCTTCCCCACGAGCTTGCCCTTCCGGTTCATACACAGGTAGAACTCCGTCTCCTTGCCCTTGATCCGGACTTGACTACCGAAGGTGTCGGTCTCCACTAGGAGCTGGGCTTCGAAAGGCAGAAGCAGAAAAAGACAGGCTGTTTGACCGTGTCCCTGGGCGCCCCCCGCCGCCAGATCAGGCACAGGAGAGGCCTCTGCCAGGTCCCCGTAGAGCACCCTGCCTCTCAGGCAGGGACCAGGAAGCTGTCCCCACCTGTTCCCTACGCCCCAGCTTGACTCCACTCGGGACCCAGATGGCTCCATCCAGGAGGAGGTTCTTTCGCTGTGACCAAATACCAAGCAGGGTGTCCCCTCCCTTCCTCACCCGCCTCCCCCAGCCCCTCAACTCCATTCCCCAAACAAAGCAGGGCAGAGAGCCATACATATAACTTCAGAGAAGCAGCCGTCTCTGAAATAAGGGCACAGACATATGCATAGGAGTTCTCACGGGCACACACACACTCAGGCACACACACTCACGCGTGTGCACCTTGCCTTGAGGGACAGCAGAGGCCCGTCCCCGCCCACCTCTCCACTTTTGCCACTCGAAAGCCAGGGGAGGGAAGGCTGTCTTCAGAATTTCACCTTCCTCCACCAAGGTCACCAGGCGGAAAGGTAACTAACTCCCTGGAGTCCGGAAGTTCCAGTCGGGGCCCAGCACCCCCTGTCCTGGGCAGGAGACCTCCCGCTACCATCCATGTTTCGCAGGATCGGGGTGTCCAGAGCTGATCGGCCAAAGCCCTGACTGAGCAAGGACACCAAATGGCCAAAGGGCGACTGTCCTCTCTCCCCCGTCTGGTCCTGAGCGCACTCACCTGGCCCCCTCCCCCGCAGCCCCTCCCTGTTCTTCTGCGCCGTGACCCTCCCACTCTCGCCGCCCCCCTCCCTGACCCTTTGCTCCCCAGCACCTGCCCCTCCCTCACCCGCAGAATTTTAATTTCGGTGACAAGGGAGTTGCTTCTCCATAACAAAATCATAGCCCCAAATACAGTGTCCTTGGAGCCACAAAGAGTGGAGCTCAGCGCCCCTAAAATACACTAGGTATGATTTTAATTAAAAAAAAATGAAAAATATATACCCCGGTGCCCTGCTGTGAAAATTAGAACCATCTGGAAAGCAGGATTTCCAGTCATTAATCGAGCTCTCCTTTGACACCACTACTAATTAAAATATGATACCCCACCTTTCCACGGAAAAAAGAGAAGAATTTACATAAAATTTAAAGATCTAACAAGAATTTAGTAATTCTAGAAACAAGGGGGCAGGCACATTCTTCCTTCCACCTTCCCCCAACCCTAGTCAGCACTGAGTCAGGAACCTGAGCCGATGCTGAGATGGGGGTACGGGCGCCCCTCCCCCCTGCTCCCCTTAATCCAACCACCCTATGACTCTCTGTGGTAGCTCGGTCCCCTGGAACCCAGGACCGAACATCCTGGAAGCTCTGGGACTGGCTCCCCACCACCCCTCACAGCTCAGGCCCCCCCCTCCCAGCATGGGGATGTGGGCTCAGGGGGGTCTGCCACCCCCAGAGCTTCAGACGGAGGCAGCACGTGTCAGGGAAGGGGAGAGCTTTGCCGTGCACAGCCCTGGGTCTGAGCCCCTGGCCCAGCGGTGTGACCTCCAGCCTCAGCTTCCTCACCAGTAAAATGGGGGACACCATCCATGGTCTTCAGGTTAGTGTGAGGATCACACAGAATGAGGCAGGAAAGGGCCTAGCACCTGTCCTCAGGGGCGGGGCGGGGGAAACCTGGACTGTTGTTCAAGTTCCTACCTGCAAAGCAAAGCTGTTTTTCCCAAAAGAAAAAGAGATACACAACAATCAGAGGTGCGTGGAACTTGCCTTCAAGGCCTGGGTACCCTCTGACCTGAACTTCCGCAGCACCCCTGGGCTTGCAGGAGGCCCCCACACCGGGAAGGGCCTTGGGCTGGGACTCAGGGGTCTGGTTCTGTTTCTGGTGTCCGCCACCCCGGGCTGTGTGGCCTCTACGCCCCACCGTGAGCCTCGGTTTTCCTACCTACGCAGAGCGGGGCTCCACCCTATTCTGAGTCTCCCTGAGATTGGGGGCAAGGTCTGGGACAGGGGTAGGGAGGGGACGCTGTAAGGAGATGAGACCACCGGGCTGGGGCCCAGGCAACCCCAAGTGACTCCCAGGGGGAGACAGCCCCGGCTCCCGGATGAGGACCCCCAGCTCTGGGAGACGTGGCTCAAAGCACAGCCCCCTGCCACCATGGGCCACGGCCCACCACGGGGAGCGTCCAAAGGGCCTGGGGCTGGACTGCACCTCCACCCCCGCCAGCTGAGCCACCCCCACCCTGGGGTGGGGAGGGTCTATGCCGGCTGCCATGCCCGGGGAGCCAGAAGTCTGCTCTCCCCCGAACACGGCGAGCCACGGACTGACCTCCACTCCACTCCGTGCATGACATAATGAGGAGGGAGCCGGGCCAGAATTATGTAAAGTCTTTGGGGAGTAATAGCAGCAGCAGTTCTCAGAGAGAGAGTGAAAGAGAGAGAGAGAGAGAGAGAGACCACACCTACCCAGGCCAGGTTTTCCCCGGAGCCTGCCTGATCCTTAGCATCATGCTACTCCCCCCCAACCCCCACCAACCCCAAGATGCAAGGCCCGAGCCCCCAGGATGCATCTGGGCCCTGGTCTGCTCCCGGGCGCACACCAGGCCAGGCAGGAGGAGGCGTTGACATTATCTCACCCCACTCCTCAGCAGACCTCCTCACCGCCCTGACGGCCCCTCCGGTTTTCACAGTTCAACAGCCTCCCCCCAACGCCCAAATCTTGCCCCTCACCAGTCTCCCAGTCTCCCCAATGCGTCAGCCAGAGGGATCCTTGCTGAGAGCCTCCTAGGACCTCCGACCCACTGAAAATCCAGCCTCTTCACAGGGACCCATCCAGGGTACAAAACCTGGGGCCGCTGACCGTCCCCAGCCACGCTGCCCAGCGCCGTACCAGCCTCCTGCCTCCAGCACCACCCACCGCCTGCTCCATTGACCTCACAGCTTTTCTCCAGACTCCTTACTTGCTACCTTTTGTATTGTCTGCCTCTGTTTACCGGCAGGTGAGCCCCAGGAGGGCAGAGTCCAGCCCATCTTACCCGTGGTGGTTCCCAGTGCTAGCCCGCCCCTGGCTCACAGTAAATGACCAACCAGGACACTGTACTACATGCTGAAATGGCCTCATGAGGGACACACTAAAGGAAATGAGACGCAGGGAGGAGAAGAGGCGTGCCCACAGGGACACCGCAGGCCAGCCCAGGGCCACGGCTCGGCCAGAGAGTCTGGTTCCACGGCCCCTGTGTTCGGCCACTCTGCTCCCCCCTGGTGCGGTCCCTCCTGCCACCCCCAGATTCTGAGCCCCCACCCACCCATCCCCAGCCTCCAATTACAATCCCATTTTCTGACTTGCTCTGTGACAGAGGAAAAGACCCCGTCCCTCTCTGGGCCAGGACTAGGTGACCCCAAGGCCTCGTTTGGTTCAGCTCCTCTAGGAAGTCTCAGTCACTCAGTCACGTATCTAGAGCTCGTGACATGCTGGGCACAGTCTACCTGACACGCGCTACCTCGCTGGATCCTTACAGCAATGCTTGAGGTTTGGACTGAGGTTATCATCCCTATTTTACAGGTCAGAAAACTGAGTCCCAAGATCACCCGGTGATGGAGCTCAAACCCAGGCAGGATTCAAACCCAGGCAAGAAGAGCCCAGAAGTCTTGGGGTCAGCCTGTCTACCCCTCCCCCATCTCCCCTTTCCTCTATGCCCACCCCTTTTTCTGAGGGAGCAAGTGAATGCCAAAGGCGGGCAGCAGAGGTCTTTGCTTTGACCTCACTTTCTTAAGGCAGAGTCTACTATCAGCAGAGCAGCCCACAGAGCCAAAGCCACAGGGCCATCCCTCCTAGCTCCACTTGCAATGCCCTCGAGCAGGGAGGGGTCCCCTCATGGTCACTGGAAGATGGGGGACCCTTGGGAGCACCCAAGGCTCAAACCGCAGCCAGAGAGGCAGCAGTGGCCTCAGACCCAGTGGAGGGAAGGAAAAGCCACAGGAACCCGAGGGGGAGTGAGTACAGGATTCGGGGGTAGGGGGCTGCCATCCAGGCCCCTGAGAGGAAAATCCGCAGAGTCCCATCTCACTGGGCTCAGTCCGGAGCAGGGCCCAGCCCTGCCTGCGACTGGGGGCCAGGAGCTCAAGGACCCAGTGGCTCCGGCAGCTTCCAGAGAAGAAAACGGAAAAGGGAAAAGAGAGAAAAAGAAAGGAACTGGCAAGAAAGCCCTTTCTATAAAAAACACAGGCTCCCCCCTCTCCCCCTCCACCCACTCCTCTCAAATACAAGGAGTAACAATGATCATTAAGAAACTCACAGCGAAGCCTTATCTGAGCACTCGCCCTCGGCCAGGCACTGCGTGCTGGGGGTCTGAATTGCAATGTCTCGCTAGTCCCTCATCGCAACCCTGTGGGGTGGGCCCTGTTGCGCCCATTTTACAGATGAAAACACTGAGGCACCGAGCTGTTACCAGCCGGAATCACACAGTGGGGCCGGGGCCTGGACACCGGCAGAGGAACTCCATTGCTAGTCTGAGACAGAGAGTCCAAGGCAGGCAGAGCAGGACAGATGTGGCTACCTGTGACTGCACAGAGAAGTGACACTGATTCATTGACTGACGGACTGAATGGCTGGTTCCAGTGCTTCCCTAGCTGGGCCTCACTCCCAAGGCTTCTGTTTGAAGGCCTTGGTTCGCAGCCGCCGGAGAACCAGAGGGACGTGTACAAAGAGAGACACTGGACACAGGACCCGGGGAGAGTGGGCAGAGAACACAAAGCTGGAGAACGGGTGTCTTCCCACCCCGACCTGCCAAGCCTCCGGGAAACCCCCCCAAGACCTTCAAGCACGTGGGCAGGGGCAGCGGGAGCCAGGAGCAGGGGGCAGGGCGCGGGGCAGTGGGAGCCAGGCGCAGGGGGCAGGGCGCAGAGCCCCTTGCACCCGGGCCCAGCATTGCTGACAGTGCTGCTGGCCACTCTCCAGACGGTATCCTTCCAGCGAGGAAACGTCCTTGCCACAAAGAC